CCCCAAAACCCCAAAACCCCTAAACAGAAATATCATTAATAATCCAATCTTTAGACTATTTTTAATAAAATTAATTATCAGATTTTTGTTAAGCTCAATAATCCAAGTTTAGATTAGAGAGTTTTTCTATTACCTGCAGCGGATTTTCAATTTGGTAAATTATCTTTCCTTTAGCATCAGGTCTTTCAATTATCAGTTTGTGATCAATAGCTTCTCTTAGCATCTCCTTAATCTGTTATTAACTGAGAGCTATCATTTTCTCAACACACATTATGAGCAGTTCTTTTATGCTACAACCGCTCCCCTTTGGATTTTAATCATCTACCTGAAATTCAGCTATTTACTTGATAATCTTTCTTTAGGTTACAGTCATACTCTGTAAAATAAACTCAAGCCCGAAATCCTCGTTATTATCTTAGATATTAAAGAGTGGCGGTTAGTACTCTAGCTCAACATCGAAATCCTCAAATGTGTTAACTTAAATGCAATAAAAGTTTAAGTAGTCTAAGTCAGTCTCACTCCAAATTAGTCCGGCTCTAATTTGATCGACTGACATGATGAATTTGATAATTCGAGTCTGCGAAAGCTTTGTAATCAGCCTCATTAGGTCTTTTTGTTTTAACTAAGAAATGTCAAATGAGTGGATCACTATGTAAATAAAATCCAATTCATTCTACCTTAGCTTGTCCAATATCTCAATGATCTCACTGATAACATCGTTTGATGAGACTGACTATATTTTCTAAGACAGCTGTTTCCAAATTAATTTGATTAGTGGATTAGTAAGTGATTTTATATTAGCACCAGAGTGAAACCCGTTTATTATAATGATGTTTTATCCCAGCTTATTTTTAGCAATAAAGTTATTAATAAACTTTCTTTTGCTTCCCACACCGTACAACAAAAGATTAAATCCACAGCCCAAGAAGTATTTCATTTAAGCGAATGCTGTATGAGTAGATATCTGTTCTTTATGCTTTATTTTTTAATCAAAATGCTTTATGATGTTTTTCTCATCTTCGTGAATTATCTCCAAATCCATTTAGTTTTACTTCATATGCACCATTGCCATATCATTATCCTAATCAGAATCATATCTCATCTATTATGACTATGAAAACATGCTGTCTGACTTCTAACTTAGCATATTCTGGTCGTCTTAATTCAAAAGAATCTAGTTAATGCTCATGTAAAGATTGTAAATTATACCTTTTTGCCTGTTTCTTCTTCATGTTCACTAACCTTGCATCTTAGTTTTTAGCACTCAAAGTAGTTCTTTAAACTTAAGATGAAATGTATTATTACTGGAAAAATATATCTCCTGTTTTTAGATGAGCTAGTTTGTTTCTTTTGAAGAAAGATATCCTGCTTTTTAACTGTTTTTGAGGTTTGAGAATATCTCACTTCAGAGATTTAACTTAATATATTTTCATCTATAAGTAATAATCTTTTTATGTGATTTACCTCTATAAGACCATATATAGTCTGCATTCTTCTAAGTATAACTCAATGATTCTGAATCTTCAAACATTTTATTATTAAATATGACCAAATTATTTAAATACAAAAACATTGAGCTTTAATAAAAAGGGGTTTTGGGGTTTTGGGG